CCGGCGCGCGCGCAGTACGCTGGGCGCAGCGCGGCAGCTCCTGGCAGGCGGCCTCGCCCTTGCCCTGCACCAACAGCAGCAGGCGGCGCACCCTGCGCTCGGCATCAGGCAGTGCGTCCAACGCCTCGTACTCGGGCCCGGTGAGCACGCCCCGCGCCACCAGCGCGTCCAGCAGCAGCCCCGAGTCCTCCTGCAGCGTCTCTACCAGGCGTTTCCGCTCGCGGTCGATCGTCTCCGACGGCCGCTCCTGTGCGTTGCCCATGGTCGGGGCTGGATGGAGGAGGAGGAAAGAAGTAGTGGGGGTTGGGTATCACCCACCCCTGACCTCTGTACCAGGGCCCCAGTTCACCTGGACCCCAGCGGTCAGTCGGCTCCCCAGCCCAGGATCTGGAGGCCACTGCACGAAACTCGTCCTCCTGCCTCTCCGCCGCTCTGTCCAGTCTCCTTCCTCCTCAGGCTCCTCCTTCTGTCCCTGAACGTCAGCAGTGGCTCTCCTCTCCCCCCTTAGGCTCTCCCAGGACTCTCACCTACTCTCTCACTGCTCTCCCCAACCAGGACCTCCCCCTGAGGCCCAGCCGCTGGCACAGCCTGAGGACGGTTTTGACCCAGTTTATCCAAACCAACCTTTTTCTGTTTTCCAAATCTGCTTACCCACCTCACCAGGCAGAAAAACCCAGGTTGGTCCTGATACCCCACACCCAGCTTGCAGTCAAGTCCTTTCCAGTCTGTCTCTCGCTATCCTTACCACTTAAGTCTGGCCTTTTACCTCCTGCCTGGACCCTGCAGAACCCGGGATCAGGGCTCCCTGTCCCCAAAGTCTCTCCTCCGGTCCCGTCTACACCCAGAGCACAAAATGCTGAAAACCGCCGCCCCCCTTACTTTGACCCTGAGACCCGACTTTCCAAGTCAGACCTTGCCCCTGCACCCTCTCTCATCAGCACCAACACCAACACCATGTTGCAACCCCAATGTGGTTTTGTGGCCCTTCCTGCTTCCCTGATTCCTGATTGGAGATACCGGGATCTTCTTGAGCTCTACCAAGATCTCCTGATGTAACCTGAGTCCCTACTGTCTCCTGCTGACCTGGGAATGACTTACAGCCATCTCTTGTTTGATCTTGAAATACCCAGGACCCAGGTCATAAAAGCCACCAACAAATGCTTCCTGAACTATTACTGTTTTTCTTCCATGGATCTCCCATTTTGAGAGACTCTGTACCAACAGCAGGTATTAAGTAGAAATTAATCTGTTTTCTCCATTTATTACCAACCAAGGATTATGGCCCATCCCCTTGGGTGGCCTGACTCAGTCAGCAAGACCTCTTACATTAGGAGGCAAAGAGGTCAGGCCTTGGACCATTCCCTCCCTCAGCTGACCCCCACCTCCCTTCATAACCCCCCTCACCACCACCATCGCCTTGGCTTTGTTCATACAGCATCCTCCTGGGTCTCCTCTTCCTTTTGGTGTCTCTCTTCTACCTCCTTACCTGGCTCTAGGAGGCTGGGCCTTATTTGGGAGAGAGGATTTGGTCCTAGTCCCCATCCTGTCTTCCAGGTCTCTCTCTCAGTATCCTCTGGTGTCATGCTGTGCTTCTCCTGGTCACTTCACATTCCTGCTCCCCCCTACATGGAAGTGTCAGCCCTTCTCTCAGGACACTGAGCAGAGAGACCAGGTCTGCCCTCTGCCCCCCATCTCCCTTTATGTCCCATCTGTGATAAGTCCACCTCACAGGTTCCATCAGCTCCTGCCTCTCAGCCCCATCATCATCACCTTGTGTCCTATAACAGTCCCTCTGAGGACCTCTTACTCCCATTCCAACAGGCGCCACAGCACAGTGACTCTAACAAATCTCATGTAGGATTTATTGTTCCCATTTTATGAGGATTCAGGTCTTAGAAGCAGTAGAACTGGAATCTGATTTGCTTCAGTCTGAATTATAAGGGGGCTCCTGTCAAGCAGAATGTTAGTTCTATGTATCTCCTGCCCCCCACTGTCTGTCAGAGAGAACCCCAACTATCGGGTCTGGCTACTGTAGCCACCTCCCACCACCTTGGAGAGCCAGGTTCTTCCCCACATCCCTCCACCAGTCAGTGCTAGCAGAACTACCATGCCCCTGGCACCTCGGAACCTTTGCTGATGTTGTTCCCTCAACTTGGAATACCCCCGCCCCCTCATTCTGTGGACCCACCTTCCAAGACTCAAGTGTTCTTTTGTCCATACCAATGCCTAAGTGTCTCAAGGACAGGCAGTTCCTTCTTCTGTAAACCCCAGTGAACAACATATAGCCTCACCACTGTGTTAACTGATATCACAGCTGGGTGTACACAGGGACTCTTCTTCTCTCTTCAATGGTGGCTTCCAAAGTGTGCCCCTGCAGTCACCGGGTACAGGAAGGGAGAGGGAGACAACACCTACTCTGCCGCAGACGCCAGAGAGGGTGCAGATCCTTATTCCTCACTCCTCCCTGGATTGTTTTCATGTTAGCCTACTTCTATTTCCCCAAGTCCTGCGCTTAGTTTTGTCTTAGCCAGTAGAGAACTCTGCTGGTCTGGGCCTCCCTGGGAAGCTTACAGCTCTAAAGTCAATACTGAAGTTATGTAGCAGCCAGTCCTTTTAGGGTCACAGGCTTCCCGGAGAGCCAGGTGGTGAGGCATGGAGAGCCGAGTCCCGACACCCACCCCCATCTTTCTGCGGGGACTCCTGCTGGGGAGCCAGGGTCTTGGAAAACTGCGGAATCCTTTGCGCATGTGCGACCGCAAGGATACCCTTACCTCCCCTCCACCCAGTGCAAGATCTCGGGAGTCCTGCGGAAGGGTGGGGCTCCCAGATCTCCTCCAAGTGCGGCTGCTGGTGGCGGGTCGCTGATTCTGCCCAATCTCGGTTTCCCTTCCCTCCCCCAGCCGGGAGTGGGGCTCCCGGTCCGGCCCGTTTCGGGCGGCCCCACTCACGGGTCGAGCCTCAGCGGGACAGGAG